CAGCCAGAAATTAAGCATATAAAGTCTGAAATAAAGAATATACAGAAACTCAACTATAGATCAACATGGCCCAAGAATCAAACCAAAGACCTGGAATATAAGAAATCAAAAATCACCCAACCAGAGAGGCAAAAAGAAAGAAGAATCCAAAAGTATGAGAATAATGTAAGAAACCTCTGGGACAACTTCAAGTGAACCAACATCAGAATTATGGGGGTCCCAGAAGATGAGAGAGAGCAAGATATTGAAAAAATACTGAAAGAAATAGTGACAGAAAACTTCTCCACCTGGTGAAAGAAATAGACTTACAAGTTCAGGAAGCGCACAGGACCCCAAACAGGAGGAATCCAAAGAAGAACACACCAAGACAGATCATAATTAAAATGCCAAGAGCAAATTACAAAGAGAAAATCTTTCAAGTAGCAAGAGAAAAACAACTAGTTACCTACAAGGGAGTACCATACGACTGTCAGCTGATTTCTCAACAGAAATTATGCAGGCCAGAAGGGAGTGACAAGAAATATTCAAAATGATGAACAACAAGAACCTACAACCAAGATTACTCTGCTCAGCAAAGCTATCATTCAGAATTGAAGGCCAGATAAAGAGCTTCACAGACAAGAAAAAGTTAAAGGAGTTCATCAATACCAAACCAGGATTACAAGAAATGTTGAAGGGTATTCTTTAAGAAGAGGAAGAAGAAGAAAAAGGTAAAGGTAAAAAATTATGAATAACAAAAAGGCATCAAATACATACCTACCAACAAGCGAATCTAAAAATCAAGAGAATAAAAAAAAATCTGAAGAACAAAATGGACTGGTGAGTATAATAGAATCAGGGACATAGAAAGAGATTGGACTAACAATTCATAGGGGGAAAAGGGTCTGAGAGGTGCGGGAAGAGATTGGACAAAAATCTTAAACCTATAGATGAAGACATTGGCGGGGGTAAGGGTGTAGGGTGGAGTTGGGAATCAGATGAAGGGGAGTTAAGGGGGAGGGGAGAGGAACAGCTGTAATAATCTGAACAATAAAGATTTATTTAAAAAATTTACCATAAATCCCATCCTATTTTAATTCTGTTGAAACTTCTCCAGTTCTCATTACTTTCTCATTTTAGTAAGTATATTCTAATACACACAATTTAATCTTTCTTTGATAACTAATATCACAGTACCTTTATGACTATCATTCAGAGCATTAAGTGCTCATGGCTAAAGATAAAATTTTTGGAAATAGAGGAAAAGAATTGCTAACGTCTCCAAATCTTACTGTAAAAATGCCTGCTTATACTACATTAATAATGTCAAATCATTTTCTTGTAATTTTCCCCTCTTTGTCTGAAAATATATGAGTCAAGTTATAGGTAATAAAATGTTTACTTTTTAGTATTTTGTTCCACCATCCCAGACTTCATTCAAAAGAGCAGCAAATTTACTTTCACTGTGAAGGCCCAGCAACTTGTACAACTGAGACACTTACCAGGTAAGTGGAACCACAGGATTAAGTGCCTGTTAAGACAAGCTAAAAAGTAAATTCACAACTCTTCTCTTTTTCCACTAAAGCTGGTACATTACTATCAACTATAAATAACAATGATTGATGGGATGCACTTAGAATGTCAACTGTCCTTGGTACTTTCCTCATAAAAATTTTTTCTTAGATTTAGAAAGACTTAAATATGCTTTAACCAACTGACTCAGGAATCTCAGTGGGGATATATATATATATATATATATATACCCTGTTTCCCTGAAAATAAGACAGTGTCTTATATTAAGTTTTTTCTAATTTTTTCTCCCAAAGTTGCGCTAGGTCTTATTTTCAGGGGATGTCTTATCTTTCCATGCGCTAGGTCTTATTTTTGGGGAAACACGGATATATATATATATTTCATAGAAGAAGGAAGAGGGAGAGAGCACTAGAAACATCAATCATGAGGGAGAATCATTGATTGGCTGCCTCCTGCATGCCCCCCACTGGGGATTGAGCCCACAACCTGGGCTTGTGCCCTGACCAGGAAATGAACCCATGCCGTGTGGGCTGGATGGAGAATTTTAATGTGTTTAATGTTACATAAACTATAAAGTTGCCTTTAATATGTAGTAAAAATGACAAGAGAAATATTCTATATCTGATTTTATTCCAGAGAGTCTTCTCAATCTTAATATTAACATGTTTAAACAGATTACAGGTGAAAATGTTTTCCTTTTTCCCACAAATATCTGCTTAGCAGAAGGAATACTACTAAAATTAATTTAAAAGCAAGTCTATTTATTATTTTTGATATAATAAAATGTTTGCTATAGTTTAAAATGCTTATACAATGACTCTCAAAAGACTGCTAAGTGTAGAGAGGAGGTTGTTTTGAAAATAATTATTTTTAACAACCAAATTATATTTATAATCTTAGAAAAATATGTACAAATTAATTAGAACATAAGCAACATTTATCATTTATATCTGGTTCAGTAAGAATACTGTGGGAATTATTCTATTGATTTTGTGTTGTTTTATAACATTTTCAGTTAAGTAAGATTTTAAATGAAAAAAATAAAAATGGTCAAAAAGCTAATTAAAAAGTCTAATGTTAATTCAGCTTATCAGGAAAGATATTTATAAAAATTGTGTTTAAAATACAATAAATTAAGCAGAGATTTGCAAGTGTTTCTACATGTTGTTTATTGTGGTCATATTGTAAGATCAGTTTTTATTAGTTTAGCTCCATAATATTTTGTTTGTATTTGCCTTTTCTCAAATATTTCCTTGGCCTAGGTGAGCAAGAACCCAATTAAAAGAGCTAAATTTTCCCTGTCTCGGTTGCTCAGTTGGTTGGACTGTTCTCCAGTGCATGGATAGATCGCGGGTTGGATTCCCTGTCAGGGTTCATACATTAGGTTTTGGGTTCCAGGTACCTACAGAAGGCAATCAATCAAGGCAATCAATCAATATTTTTCTCTCATCTCTCTCTCATCTCTCTCTCTCTCTCTCTCTCAATATTTGAGTAAATAATGAGAGTAAATTGTCATCTTCAGTTAACAATAGAGTCTAACAGAAAATCTAAACTGTATTAAATGAAGCAGCACATGAATTAAGCCTATTATTCTAAGAATTTCTGCTTAAGACAATGCTCTTTTGGGTAATGTCTTTCTCTTGCATTCTCTCCCCTTCCCCCAGAATCTTTTCTAGCCTAATAGTAATTACATGTGTATTGCCTGGATTTTCATTTTCAGTGGAGGGGTTGTGAATGGGCTGCATGAGGAGCTGTGTGTTATAGACATTGCAATTTTCCCAAAACAGGGCAACATTACTCTCCAAAACAGTTTCTAAGGCACTCTAAAAAAATCTTGGGAAACCTCTGAGTAGATTCCTATCTTATAGCATTATTCCCTGCAATGGCTTAAAGTTGACAACTCATGTTAAAATTAGTAATTAATTATGTAATGTGCTTGTATCTTTATGTGTTTGCTTCATCTGTGAACATTAATTATATATTTTATATCTGTTCTGCAGCTTTTTCTCTCTTTAAGATTTTATAATTTGTGCTTATGGAGGCATCATATTTTACTGTTTTGTGGCACTAAGTACCATTAAAGTCATTTTGTGGCTTTCCAATAATTAAAACCTTTGTATTGCTGGAGCAGTGAAAAGAACACTGCCTACTACCTGGGGTTAATGCTACCATCACGCAGGAGTTTAATGGAGTAAGGATAAAGGCCAAACACAACATGGCTCTGTGTTTTATTCAACCCCGTGATCATTTAGCACTGGACTGGTGGCCAGTACAACTGTCAATTCTGACTTCCCAATGCGCTTGGGAAAAGTATGCAACCTATATCCTATTTCCTAAACAGAAATGATTAAGGGGATTCATTGTTACTGTTTTTTAATTATTATAGTTCTTTTCTTTTGAATTTCAAGACTAGCAGCCTAAAGATAATATTTTAAAATAATAAATATATGAAATTCCAAAAATAAGAAATCTAAAAACCATTTTAACGTCTTCTTTTCTTTTTCTTTACAATGTTAACACAGGGAAGTGGGAAGTTACTTAGCAGGGTTCCGGGTTTTCTGGAGCCCCGCCCTACCACAGCTACAGGCTTTTAGTCCCTGGGTAGGTCTGTCCTGAGAAAGCAATTCCTGTCCATGGGTCCATGCTCTGCCCGCCCGCCGCGCATCTGCCCTTCTCTTCTGACTCCGCCCCACATCTGCCCGGAACCGCCTTGCGTCGGAGCTGACCCAGTGCGCTTCTGCCAGTCAGTCCCTCCGGACCTGCCTCAAGTCTCAGGCTGCTGAAATCACCTCGCGTCACTCGGTCCGTACCCAGTGGGCATCTTGGGTATCTGGGCGGTCTCCGGTCCTCCGCGCGTGTCTGTCTGTCTGTCTTTCTGTTTGATCCGCCGCCTGCAGCCTGCCTGCTGGCCCAGAGCACCAAGTCCCCAGTCTGCCCTTTCGCTGACGCTGAGTGTGTGTAGCGGCCTTAGTTAGCTGCAAGCCCGCCTGAGATTGGCCAGGCAGCCCCGGGCGGAGGAATACATGTTCCCTGCCCTAGTTGATGCAATTTTAAGCCAACAGGACCTCGAGGCCTATATTTATACAGAAAACAGGTTGTGAGGCCTGGATCTGCAATGCTAGATGTGGGGAGCCAGCCAGCTGCTTGATGATTTCTTATAAATTAAGAGGGAAAGGGAAAAAATTTCCCCCTACTGCTGGCTTTTGAAATTGATTTTAAATCTAAAAGGGTGGAAATTGTATGTCCCCTAGATAGAACAGACGCCTTACTGGGATGCCTTTTTGTCTGATGCTGCGTTTGTGCTGAGCCCGCTGACCAGGTGTTTCTGAACTTCATTTTCTCAGCCTCAACAGTGTTACTGAGTCTGCTTTTAGCTTCCTTCGCCTTGCCTTGGCTTTTTATGTTCGTGAACAGCTGCTTGGCCCATAGCTTAGAGAAAGCAGACTTCTTTTTTCTCCCAAGAGAGCCCCCTCCCTGTGCTGAGAGAGATGGGGAGTGGGGAGCCTAATCCTGCTGGCAAGAAAAAGAAGTACCTCAAAGCTGCCCTGTATGTAGGTGACTTGGACCCAGATGTCACCGAGGACATGCTTTATAAAAAGTTCAGGCCTGCTGGCCCTCTGCGCTTCACCAGAATCTGCCGTGACCCAGAGACCTGCAGCCCTCTGGGCTATGGCTATGTTAACTTCCGCTTTCCTGCAGACGCTGAGTGGGCCCTGAACACCATGAATTTTGATTTGATTAATGGCAAACCATTCCGTCTCATGTGGTCTCAGCCAGATGACCGCTTAAGAAAGTCTGGAGTTGGAAATATATTCATCAAAAACCTGGACAAATCCATAGACAACAGGGCTCTTTTTTATTTGTTTTCTGTTTTTGGGAACATTCTCTCTTGCAAAGTTGTCTGCGATGACAACGGCTCTAAGGGTTATGCCTATGTGCATTTTGACAGCCTAGCAGCTGCCAATAGAGCCATCTGGCACATGAATGGCATGCGGCTCAACAACCGCCAGGTGTATGTTGGCCGATTCAAATTTCCAGAAGAGCGGGCAGCTGAAGTTAGGATCAGGGATAGAGCAACTTTCACCAATGTTTTCGTTAAAAACTTTGGAGATGAAGTAGATGACAAAAAACTGAAGGAAATTTTCAGTGAATATGGGCCAACGGAGAGTGTTAAGGTAATAAGAGATGCCAGTGGGAAATCTAAAGGCTTTGGATTTGTAAAATATGAGACACATGAGGCTGCTCAAAAGGCTGTGCTACATCTGCACGGAAAGTCCGTCGATGGTAAAGCCCTATATGTAGGGCGAGCACAGAAGAAAATTGAACGCCTGGCTGAATTAAGGCGAAGATTTGAAAGGCTAAAAGTAAAAGAAAAAAGTCGGCCTCCGGGGGTGCCTATTTATATTAAAAACTTGGATGAGACCATCGATGATGAAAAACTAAAGGAGGAATTTTCTTCCTTTGGATCAATTAGCCGAGCCAAAGTGATGGTGGAAGTGGGACAAGGCAAAGGGTTTGGTGTAGTCTGTTTCTCCTCTTTTGAAGAGGCTACCAAAGCAGTGGGTGAGATGAACGGTCGCATGGTGGGCTCCAAACCGCTGCATGTGACCCTGGGCCAAGCCAGGCGCAGGTGGTGAGAATAAGAATGTTCGATTTGTTTCAACCTTAAGCTGGTGCCTACTTAGTTTGGGCTACTTTGTGATAAGAGATTATTTTATGCGAATTCACAGGGTTTTTTTTTTTTTAAGTATTTTCTTTTTAAAAAGGGGGAAACTAGAAAATCTTGTTCATTTTAGTGAAGAACATAATTTCTAATTGTAAAATTGTCATTTTGTACTAGTTTTTAATGTAATATCTTAGGTTTATGAAGAATAAAGTTTACTTCTCCACACATTTGTTTTCCTAAATAAGTCAAGGTAAAGTAATTGAATGAGTATATTTTCTTCCTATTTCAATAATACTACTAAATTTGATTTCTTCTATGAAAATATTTTCAAAATGCTTCGTACTTCTGATTCTATCTCAGTGCAAATTTCTTTTTTAAAAAAATATATTTTATTGATTTTTTACAGAGAGAAAGAGAGAGGGATAGAGAGCCAAAAACATCGATGAGAGAGAGACATTGATCAGCTGCCTCCTGCACACCTCCTATTGGGAATGTGCCCACAACCACAGTACATGCCCTTGACCGGAATCAAATCTGGGACTTTTCAGTCCGCAGGCCAACACTCTATCCACTGAGCCAAACCAGTTTCAGCGCAGTGCAAACTTCTAACTTGCTTTTTGACAAATCAATAGCACAGGGGGAAATGTATGTGGTCCGATTATCATTTATGCAAAATTTTACTTTAAATTATTAATATATATGAATATTATTTTTAAAAGATATGAGCGTTTTTTCTTTCCTTTATTTATATTATTTCCATTTATATTAAAATTTCATTTAAAATATATTTTAGGCATACCACAAACTGAATAGTGTCGGGGGTTTTCTTTATTAACTTCATACTCAGAGAAATAAGCATATTGGTGTTATTATCAATCAGTACCTTAGGAAATTAATACTTTAGGCATTAATTTTTTATATTATTGGTTTCATCTGAAAAACCTTTCCTGAGAGATTTGAAACTTGATAACAATCTAAAGAGCATTCTTACCATTCACTTTTCTAAATTCCTTTGTATGTATACTTGAATAATGTTAAATTAACAAGAAAGGTAAATAGCTGCATTGAATTGCCTTTAGATAAGTTTAAGATTATAACTTCTTCTCTTATTTCAATATAAAAGGTAAATAATCCAAATAACGATATTGAAAAACTACATTGAAGAACATGTATTAAATTTGTCATTCTCTTGTAATTGTTTAATATATCCATGCAAAAATATTCATAGCTGTTTCAAATGAAGGAAAAAGTTGTCACTCCTGACTAAATCACATGCCTTCATCTATCATATGAGAGCTATTAATGCACTACATTTCTCTTTCAGTCTTGTTGCTTGAAAGTTGTTACAGAATATTCTATTCTTTGTTACATTTACAGTATTTAGCCTGTAATTTCTAGGTTACACATTTTCTGTTTTTCATTGGTATTCCCTCTTTTTCCCATCCAGCTACCTTCCATCCACATTACACTTACTTTTCTATTTTCTTTGGACTTCCTTTCTCTTAATATATGCTAGTTGAAATCCATTTTGAAAGTATATAAATACCTAATTTATGTAAATGTTAAATAATAACTTTTAAAAACATGATTCACTCATACACAGATCCAACCACAAGAAAATGTTTTGTTTCTATTCTCAGTTGGTTTTTATTTATCTGCATAAAAATCTTTTATTCATACATAATTCAATATAAATATGTAATTTAACACTTTTGTTAGCAATTTGCCCACAAAATAATGAGAATAAGCTGTTTCTATATAATTATCTATAAATTATATATATATATATTCATTATCAAATATTTTCAAGTGGAAATCACTTTTTTAAATTATAAACATTTAAAAAACTGTAAACATTTTAAAAAAACATTTAAAATAATGTACACAATGCAAAAATTTATAAAGAAGTAAAATTCCCATAGTTCAGAGGTGACCACTATTAATATTTTCAGTATGCACATTTCTTTCCATGTATCTTTTTCCTATTTATACATACACTGTGTTATAAGCAAAACGGAAAACATATTACATGTGCCGTTACATGCTTTGTTAAATTTTTAAGCATAATCATCTTTTCATGTAAATAAATATTGATCTGTATCATCATTTTAGTGATTGCTTAGTATTCCATTATGTGGATGTACTATAACTTATCTAAGTCGTTCATTATTGAATATAATTCATATGCTTTTCAATGTATTCTACGTTTGTAAACAATACTGTGAAGACCATCCTTGCTTAAATATATTTTTAGTTACATGAGCTAGAAAAAATATCAATAGCATGTAAAAGCTTAAATCTAGAAAAATAAAAATGCACATCATATTGATATATGTATTATAATTTTGAAAAAACATTCAAGACATAGTCTTCATTTAAATTGACAAAAAATAAACTAAAATAATGGGATATAATTTTTCATATCATTGTAATCAGAATTTATGAAAATGATGCAACTCCAAACATAATTTAAAATATTGAAAGCAATGATTTACCATATATATTCTCTATTCCTCTTTCCCCATTACCAGTTTTTATTTCAATTTGTAGACCTGCAGTCTTATTGTTAATCTAAAACCTTTATAAATATTTTGATTCAATATAAATCACTAACATTTCTAGAAAGTAAAAATTCTTCAAGTATTAGCATTTAATACATTTTGGGGAATTAAGTATTTAAATTATTGCTATTTTCTAAAAGTTAGCCAGTATAAAGAAAAGGAGTAATTAAAACATACATAATTAAAGAGAAAATATACATGTTAGGACTCCTAATAATTAAGGCTTCTAGAGGGGAGCAAACTACTGAAAAGCTTAAGTGAATGACAAAGCTATTTGATAAGAGAAATTAGTTATTAAAGAACAAGCCATTTTTATTACATACCATCCTATGAAGAAGTAATTGAAAAGTGATTGGGTACACAGATTGTTGCATCTAACATACTGTTGCTGGTGACACTTAAGCTTATACTTATGCTTATACTTATGCTTATACCTATGCTTATCAATGCTTAGACATTTCTCATACTCTATTTCATTAAACATTTGATTAATGGGCTTGTTTTAGACAAAACTTCTAACAATTGACACAAATAAAAGTCTATTTGTAGAGTAACTTTTAAAAATAGATTAGTGGGATATTGCTTCAAGATTAAGACTACTCCACAACATTTTGATCCTACATTGAACCAAGTGATCACAGTAATTAATCCCTGAGAGACTAATGCGTGTGCATATGAAATGAATCACATATATCAGGGTATATTTACAAATGGTTCCTTGTAGCCTCAAGAGAATTAATATATTTCACTTGACTCCAGGGGATCATGGTTAATAGCTTGAAATAATCTAGTTGCCATTGGAAATCTAAGAGCAAGGCCTGCTAGTTTAAACATACAAATATTGAAAATCTATTTCCTTTGAAACTTTAAAAAACGAACTCCAAATACTCCAAGTACTTTCATCCTCATAAGCCAATCAATTTTCAAAGTTCTCCCATTGGGCACAAAAAAGTATCAGAGTTCTCACTATATCTCTCATCAAAAGTATGGACCTATGTAAAATCTTTAGAGAGACTGCAAGTAAAAATGTAGAGTGTTGATACTGTATGGCATGAGTCTCAATCATCAGAGTAAATTAGTTTCTTTGTTTTAGAACTAATAGTAAGTGAAACACCAGATGTTGGCAACTTTTGAATGAAAAATAAGCCTATCATAAAGGATAAATAATTTTACATCTCTTTGAGATTAATTCAAACTTTCAAAAGGATAAATTATGCTTTTGGGAAATCAAGGACTTTTTAAATTAACATTTGGGACATTTAAAAAGTAACGTTAAGTTAATTTAAACTGAATGATGAACAACTCTTTTTTTAAGTCACCTCTCTGAGAATTGAGGGCAGAATGAATCTCTGAATAGAACGAACATATAAAGGAATCTAAGCTTTTCTTTTAAGTGATTTGGGAAGTCCAAAAATATACTCACAATAGGTTTTATTGCACAAAAATATATTCTACATTAATGTCCATAAATAAAGGAGCAAATATTTTACTTTTTTTGTGATGAAATGCAACTTAATTACATTTGTGATAATGAATGTAACAAAGCAATGCAAGTCAAGAGAAAGAATGTCTTTCCTTGTTCATTAAAGAATTTTGAAAAATCAGAGTATTTGTGTACTAGCTTAAGAGTAATTTAAAGAAAGTGTAAAAAAATAAAGAATAATTTAAATGTTATACTTGTAATTTAATACTGTGAAGACAGTAAAAATCTGCCTTGTTCAATATCTACTTTAAGGTAAAGTAGATATCTAACAAGTTAATGAATAGTTTTCATTAACTTTGTATGGTTATTCTTAACTAATTTGACTAATACAGTAATACTAAACCTCAGGAACATTTAATTTGTAAGTGAATTTCTAAATTAATTATTGGTGCTAATCTGCTCTTCTCTACTTCTTATCTCCATCACCTAATCTCAACTCCATTCCTACAGAACACTCAAGTTTACATAAGTTATCTCTGGTTTATGTAGTTTGTCTAAACATCACCTCAAAATTTTCTGTTAGATGTGCATGTATATGATATTGTATCATTTTGTTGAGATAAAGTTTTAGGACTTGCATGTTAAGTCACAATATATGGTGGGAAATGTCTACTGTTTATATATGGATGACTTTATCTAGGTGGAGGTACTCTTTTTTAAAATGTGAATATCAGAATGATGCCAATTAAACCAACAACAAAACTACGGGGTCTGCTTGGAATTTTGGTTTCATAATGTATACATGGGCTTGTCCATTTGGATACCAAAGACTTGGTAGTATATGTATAAATTCTAGAAATATATATTGCTAATATGGAATAAATTTTGATATATGAAAGCAACATTTCAAGAATAACGAGAGATAATACTAAAAGAAATTGCACAACTTTTCTGAAGTGGCAACATAAGCAATGAAAATCATCTATA